TATAAACAAAGAGAAATAAGAAGGACCAACTTACAACATGGTACAACATGTGGTATTGATCGTTAGTAAGGTAACGTGTAGAATGGAATCTATGGCAAGACCTTGGACCTCTATAGGTGAGGCGGAGTTAAACTGCAATGTGTGTATGCGTTTTATTACAGGGCTAGTACGTACAATACGACGTTTACCGTTTCACGGTGTCCTAGCGTGCAAAACAGGCGGACTATGTTAGGTGTACAGATCTGGGATGCAAATATCAAGTTTAGTATTTAGATTAGTTATGCTAATCACTAGCTACCTAAATACTATGCTTAAATTTTCATCCCATCTGTACCTTATAATAGGCCGACTGTTTTACACTAGACCGAGAAGTTTAAACACAGTTGGTGTTGGCAAATAAGGCTCGATAAAAAGGTTTTAGATACCTCTTTAAGTAACAAACAAGGCTTCCTTGGGCCTCTTCATGAAGCCGAAAAATCCTGCGCAGTGACACGTTAGCTCGTCGGTACTACATTTGCATGAAGAACAAGGAATTTCGTTATTGTGCAGGCAACACACAATGTCCGTGGGGCAAAAAATTAATTGCGGGGCTATTTACTATTAAAACGGGTGCGTCTTCTTGTTAGACTCTCCTGACATGCCTCTGTCCTAACGTATGAGAAGAGATGTACGCCTACGCACGAACCTCTTTGAAAGGAAAGGAGGAGACATTCCGCTTCATAATTACGATTGCTTTGCTTATTTATGTCCTTCGTGTTTGCAGCCTCTGCAAAAAAAAAGTACTTAATAATTTTCATTACTAAAATTGGAAATGTTTTCAATTTGTGAACTGTTATTGCAAACTTATATTTCGGTGCACACAGTTTACGATCGTCGGATTCAATTGCATACGATCGACACAGTTACATTGATTAGTTCAAAACCGAGTAAACAAATTAAGTTTTGTCTTGATCGTTTATAGACAGAGTTGTCGAAAATGTTTTGAAGCTCGCTCGGAAAGTATTATATAAGAAACTACGATTAACGAGCCCGTCTATCCCTGGTGTGTTGACGCGCAGGAGGGAGCCCGATTATGGTAGCCGAACGATTGGCCTTGCTCGGATTGCTCGTACTCAAGTATTTCGCCGCAAACTCATTGGTATTAGACGGTGGGGCCAAAAAATAAATTTCGGTGCAGATTGATACAGCTCGGTTTACACTCTTAGATAAATTTTAGCTTTGGTACGGTTGATCTAGTAGACAATATGATCCTGTCTGCTAGTGGCTTGGGAAGTGATAAAAAATAACGACCGGAACCGGTCTCGTGTCTCAGTTCTGCAGCCCAAACGTTCAGTAATGTGAGTATATGTGGGTGAAGGTATCAAACGAGGAACACCCATAATGACATGAATTTACTGACAGTACCATGTCGCCAGAAGTGGGCTAGACAGACCATTTACATCCGACCAGAACGAAGCATTTAACCAAAGATAATAGATAAGGGAATGCTAGGTAGTTAACAGGATATAGCCGGCAAAGGCACGTCACGAATACGTCCAGCGGAGGTGGCTTCCAGGGGCAAGCTTTGCCCGCCTTTGTATTAAAGAGTAATGCCTAGTAATAATGTAATCATGTCAATGGTTTGCGGGATGGGAATTTAAAACACTATGCCAATAATCTCGTCCACATGATGAATAGTACAAGTGAGTACAACCATATTAACACACAGGGAGTGATATTGTGTACTGTGGTGGGCACAGATAAAATGATTTGTATTACGGGCGTACTCGGCCCCAACAGCTATCGGAGGACCCGTACAACGTCGGGCTCCGTCCTGCTCGTCTGGACCACACTCAGACGCAGGCTTTAGAAGTTGGGCGTCGGTGTCTCGGCTCGGAGGCTAAGGGACTGAAGTGACCACACCCCCTCTCTGTACAGGTAGAACAAGCGGTAATACCGCTGCACCCTTCCTGTGCGAGCATCGTGCATGAAATGGCTCTTTTTTTAGAAGAGGTTGGACAGCAATCAGGCTTCTTTTCTGCTGCCG